TCCTCCGCACTCAGGAGCCCCCCATCACAGCCCAGCCCCCTGCCATCCAAGGGACCGCTGCGTGGGAGCGGGGCTTTGGGGAGGGTCCCTCGTAGAGGAGTTTATAGGGCGGGCCCGCTCCCCTCCCTGTGTGCAGAGGCCCCACAGCAGCCTATGAGCAGCAGCCCCACGCCCCCTCCCAGCAGCAGAGCCAGGCTGCCAGCGACCCCTTGTCTGTCGGACCCCCCAGGTGCTGCCCCCAGCGCTGGGGAGGGAGGCCCATCGCCCCGCCCGCCTTGGTGGAGTGGGGCAGCCGGCTCCAGCAGAGGAACGAGGCCGGCCAGCCGCCATCTTGTTGTCCCCCCGGGCTCAGCAAGTTGCCCCTCCCCTTTACTCCGCGGAGCGCAATAAGCGACCCACACTTACACTCGCCTCTTTGCTGCGTTGTCCCGCCTGCGCGCGTCCCGCCGAGCTGATGTCATCTCATCCCGCCAGTGGCCGGTGCAGTGTCAGGAACGGCCTCCCGTCTCAGCTTGCCGGAACATGCCGGAGCCGCCTGCGCGTGCTCAGTACGAGCCGGCGAAGGCGCTGCCCTACCTCTGCCCGTAGTTCGTTGCCACCAGTACCTGCTGTGGGGCGGGCGGTAAAAGGGAGGCGGGAGGGAGATGGTCAGGGTTTGTGCAGGAGGCAAAAGGAGTCCAAAGCAGGGGAGGAGCAGATAGGCAGCACTGGGGACAGGATGCAGGAGATGGGGAGAAAGGGTAAATGGACTCTGATGGAAGAGTGGCAGAGGGGGGAGGAACCCTGGCATAGAGAGGGGCAGGGTAGATAAAAGGTACCAGAAATGGGGTCATCCATCTGCTGTGATTGCCAGAACAGAGTGGGGGTGGTAGAGGGGCTTGTGTGGTACATCTCAGCCCTTCACTCCCCAAGGCTGGAGTGTTCAAGGCACACATCAAGGCAATGCCTAGATGATAATAATACCTAGCTCTTAAATAGTGATTTTCATCTGTGATTTCAAAGCAATAGACAAAGGAACTAATGACAATGCATCCCCATTTTATAGATGGGGAAACTGAGGCACAGGGCAGGGATGTGACTGTGGCTCTCCTCAATCAGAAATTATGTATTGCGTACACATGGTTTTTAGGCCTCGGGTGTGATCTCGCACCTATAAGAGTGACAGAATCTTCCACTTTCCCCATCCCTGAGGAAACTGAAGGCAGGGAAAGAACAGTGAAATAAATTATGCAAATATATTTGTATTAATTCATGCATAATAATCAAAACAAGGTTTATTATCACTAGGTTCAGTGTAGATGTCTCAGCATGTCACACAGCACTAGTGTGGGGACACAAAAGAGTGACAGTAAAATACTGTTTTAAATGCACTCTCCATATCCCATGGTCACATGTGCATCCTCCACATTGCCACAACTGACAACAGCCATGTCTGTATGCTCCCATTCTGCCATGCCTGAGCACAGCCATGTCTATTTGCCTTTCCTATGGCAATCAGGGCTGCCCGGAGGGGGGGGGGGCAAGTGGGGCAATTTGCCCCGGGCCCCACAGGGCCCTCCCCAAGAATATAGTATTCTATAGTATTGCAACTTTTTTTTTATGGAAGGGGCCCCCGAAATTGCTTTGCCCCAGGCCCCCTGAATCCTCTGGGCGGCCCTGATGGCAATGCCTGAGCATGGCCATGTCTGTCCACTCCCCCATGGCCATGTCTGAGAACAGCCATGACCCACATCTGTATGCTCCCTCTGCCCTTGCCCTCAACTGTTACGTCTGCATTCCCTGTGTCATGTGTACTCCTTGTACACAGTAGGTTACAAGGCTGCCTCCTACTAGCAGGTCAGGCTTCTGTACCGGATTTGGACTGGCTACAGAACTTCCATCAGGGAGATACCAAGAGATGAATTCTCTTTCAGACGCTTTAATGCACTGCCAGGTACAGCTGTTACCAGCTCAAGTAAGCTATGTCACACATGATCCCATCTTGTGGTTCAACATTATAATACAGTTTTACCATTCTATCATTCCACTCAGCCATGCCTTCTTACAGCCACATCTGCACCTTGCCACCTAACACACCTTTGCACAGCCACACTACCATGTCCCCAGCACAGTCATGTCTGTGCATTCTTCCCCTCCCCTCACTGCCACACCTGAGCATAATTATGTCTTTACACTACACCCTTGTCATGCCTGACATGCCACATCTGCATGCTTCCCTCCACCATGCCTCAGCGCAGTCATAGTTGTGTGTTAACACTACTGCCACACGTGGGTGTGGCCACATATGTGCACTGTCCCCAATACCCTACAACTGAAAACAACTATGTTTCTGTGTTCTTCCCCATCCCCTCTGCCACACCCCAAAATGGCTGTGTCTTGTGTGCTGCCACATCTCAGTTCTTCTGCCTCTGTACACTCCTCCCTAGTATCTTGCCTGAGCATGTGATACCAAATGCTACCATTCTGATTTGATATATAGTACCAGTATGTGATATCAAATCAGAATGGTAGCATTTTATAACCAGTTCATCCAGGTGTAAATGGCTATACTAAGTGTAAAGCAGTGGAAAATCAGGTCTGTAGTGTCTTAAGTTTCAAAACCACTCTTGAATCCTTCATAATGAAGGGTGTTATAAATTATTATTTATTATTGACGTCATTTAGAACAACACTCAGAATGCAATGTAAATGATACTCAGTAAATTATCACTATTTTGAAATCCATATACTTCATATTTGAACAGTGTAAGACTATGCTCTTTATAATTATCACAGAATTGTTGCTCAGTTTACATTATTCTGACAGTGAAATAATACAAAATGATATGTATAATAGAAAATAACAGAAAATCAAGGTACAATAATTGTTAGCTGAAAAGCAGCAAAATTAAAATTTAGAAATGTCAAAATTCTAGTTAAAAACAACTGAACAGACAATGTTTCCTGTTCAAGATGATTGTTAATATTCTGTTGGCTTTGTTGCTGGGCATCTGCTGTCATGCTAACAATTAAACAGAAAAAGATTCAGGTTTGCAAAGCACTCAGAGAACAAAAGAAACTATAGATTTAGTACAGTTAGAAAGCGGGGCAAAAAAAATTCCAACTCAGTCAAAAATCTGTTTGGAACACAACTTCCTAAAAATAATTTCTTTGCAATTAAAAGAGCAGCTCCAAATAATGAAACCATAGGTTGGGGGAAATTTGTCATTATCATAGTCCTAACTGATGGCATTGATGAAGAAAGCAGTAAAATCAAAAATGATTCAGATCAGAGATCTTACCTGCAGTGAACTGGTAGGTTCCGACATGGATATTAAAATGATTATCAGGCAAACTAAGCAGTAAAAATTTAGAGAGCTTTATGAAGGACTGATCCCTTGTAGATCCTAATCTGAGGGCACAGGTGTTTGATCAGAAAATTCCAGAAATACAGAGGACAAGAACTTTTTTTTTCCTGTGGTACCATTTCTAATTCTAAAATTATCAAGATTATGGGAGCGTCTTGACCCCAGCAGAATGACTTTAAATGTTATTGTAGAACTAATTAAGAACGTTAAGAAACACTTTGACACAGGCAAATTATCAAGAGAAGAATATGCTTTCCTATGTTTTCCCTCTTTGAAAGTGTTATTGATGAACTGTACTTTTTTGCCTAATATATAGTATATACCATTTTTGTGTTCTGTTTGTTTTATTATCCCTGTAATCATATTTCCTCCCTTTCCTATCTTTGGTCACCTCAATGCATGACCACATTGCAAATAAGCTTGCATGTAACACATCTGCACTGAATTAATGTTATTTGGGAAATCTATTATAATAGTTGTGGACCATGAGATGTATGTGGCACACCTGACAGCTCTTAAAACATGCTGCAAAGATGCTTTGCTTTGTTGTTGTTGGGTGTTAGCAGTGGGTACAGCTCAACTGGTCTGAACACAGTTTAGCTGAAAGTGCAAAGACAAATTATGGTCAGCACCAGTACAGAAACTGACCAAGTTTTAATTTTTTTTCTGAAACTGTGAACAGTTACAGGACTTATCCTTTTCTTTGAACCATAGAATTGTAAGGCTGGAAGGAACCTTGAGAGGCTGGACTAAGTAAACCTTCCAGGGTTCTCACAATAACTCTTGCTGGTGGCAACTATGACAAATTTTCTTAAAATACTTAATGAACTTTAGGAAAAACAAATAAATATGCACATCTGCATGTCCAAATCATTATACTTTATTTATATAGGGTTTTATTGCAGACTCAATAATAATAATAATGTACAGTTCTCTATTCTTTACTGGACCTAAACAGAATAGAAACACGAATAAGGTGCTTTGCACGTTCTTGTATCTTGTTGTTGTTTCTTTTGGTTTTGGTTGCCCTTTTTAAAACAAAAAAAAAAAAAAGACTTGCTAGTAAGTCTGGTGCTGCGAAAACTGATATTTGTATGTTTGTTAATATCACTTTTCATTGCAGACTTACTAGCTAGCTGTGAGGCTGTGAAAAGTGATATTAACAACGGTACAAATATCAATTTTCACAGCAGACTTACTCAGCCATGGCAAGCCAGGGCACAAATTACGCCCTGGATAGGCAGGTGGTTAGGGAGACAGTGGGGGCCAGAGGTGATGGGCAAGACAGAAGGGGGAGGAAGTGGGGGCCAGGGCCAATGGGGGAGCGGTGAGCCCAGGGTCCAGGAGATCATTGTATTTTTTCCCTTTTAAATGGTATACCTCTGGTGGGAAGGAGGATGTTGCATGGCAATGACATGGCCCTAACTCATGGGAGTCACGGCTCTTGGGTTCGGTTCCAGGCTGAGTGTGGGCCAGTGGTTAGAACAGGGGACTGGGCATCAGGAATCATGGGTCCTCTTCCCAGCTCAGCATGGGAGTAGGGGCTAGTGGTTAGAGAGCTGTGACTCGGGCTGGACTCCCTCAGCGTAGGTGGGGGAGGAGGAACCCAAGTTGCTATGAGTCAGGCGGGGCCTGGGGTCGCTGGGCCCCGTTATAGCCCGGCCCCGTTCACAGCCCCTCTCTCCCTGCAGAGGCTGCTCGCAGCCGGTGCGGGGCGCTGTGTCCGGCTCTGCAGCCGCGTCTCCGCAGAGCGAGCCGCCAACCGGGTGGCCCCCACCAGCCTTCTGGTCCCAGCCTGTCGAGCCAGCCAGACTGGGCGGACGGCAGCAGCGCCGCCGCCAGCTCTGCTCCTCCTTCGGCGGAGCCGCGGGCGCGATGCGGCCGCTGCTGTGGCTGGGCCTGGTGCTCGGGGTGCTGGGCGCTGCGTGCGGGGGACCCAGCGACCAGCACTACGTCGACGGCGAGCACCGGGCCGACTACGACCGGGAGGCGCTGCTCGGAGGCCAGGTGAGCGGCCCTGGAGGCCCCCTTAGACCCGCATTGGTGGGCGGGAGCTTCCTGCCGTTCCTGGAGGCTAGGAGACAGTCCCCAGCCAGGGGGCGCCGGGCGATGACCCTGGGCTCGGGGTGTTAAGCCTCGGTAGACTTCGAGAGCTGCAGCAGCCCGTCTCCCAGCGCGGGAGGCTGTGAACGCTGCTGAACGATGACACCCACCCGCCCCGTTGAGATGTGTCCCCCACCTTTTTTTTTTAAATGAACGCAGGTTGCTGTGTGATTTATTTTTTTGTGGGGAAGAGAGATTTTAATTTGCTCCTCTGCTCAGAAGTGGCAGGGCTGTATCAGACTTTTGTGTTAGTTAGTTCTGTTTGGTTTTTTTTCTCCTTCCAAAGGATGAAGCAGAGGAATATACTAAACTCAGTCCAGAGGAACAGCAAAAGAGACTGAAGGCCATCATAAAGAAAATTGACTTGGACTCCGATGGATTCCTTACTGATGGTAGGGGCTGCACACAGATTTTGTGTCACTGGAAAAAACTCACTTACATAGTGGGTAGGGGTGAGAAAATAGTGCAGCGTGATACACCTCTACCCTGATATAACGCAACCCAATATAACACAAATTCGGATATAACGCGGTAAAGCAGTGCTCCGGGGGAGGGGAGGCTGCGCACTACGGCGGTTCAAAGCAAGTTCGATATAACGCGGTTTCACCTGTAACGCGGTAAGATTTTTTTGGCTCCTGAGGACAGCGTTATATCTGGGTAGAGGTGTACTTAAAAATCTTGAGTTGCAAACCTAGTAGTGTAGCTATGTCTTTCTTTGTCTGCAGACACTGTTGTGTGTCTCTGTTGCTGCTCATAGCTTTGTGAAGCTATTGCAGAGAGATAGTAACAAGTGACTGGTCAAATTCACTGCTTCTCTGCTGTGGCTAAGCATTAAAGTTGACATGTTGATTTCACTCTGCTACTCCGGAAAGCTATAAGAAGCAGGAAAGGCAAGCAATGGAGCTGCTAACAGGAGAGGAAGACTCAAAATGTGGAGATGAAGGGACAGGTAGCAGATACACAATCAAAAAGTTCTGGTGTGAGAGTTTTCTCTTTCTCACTTTCAGTTGTCAGAAGGGGGCAGCTGCATGTATATCAAACATATACTAGCTAGAGTGTAAGAGGGAGTCTTCACTATTGGGCTTCTCCCCACTTCTTTTCTATCTGCCCCCATTGGTAAGGTCAGTTCTTTAGCTACTAGGTGTCTAAACTTGTCAGTCCCTACAACATGTCTCCCTTGAACCTGTGCAGTATTCTTGTATTACTGTATCTACTGTTAAATTTATGTCAAAGTTGAAGTTCTAGATTGCAAAATAACTGTCGTCTGTATCCACAGTCCTATCTGATTCTTTCAGTGCAAAAATAAGATGTTTCTGCTTTTTACTCATGTTACCCCTTCATAGTAAACACTATGCTTAAGAGAGAGAGTTAGAATCAATTCCTTCTACAGCAGCAGTTCTCAACAAGGGGCCCCTGGGGGTCCGTCAAGCAAAGTTGGCATTAGACTCACTGGGGCCGAGGGTGCCACACAGGGCTGATGCCCGGGACCGTGAGCTCTGCCATGCAGGGCTGAAGCCAAAGGCTGAGCAACTTAGCTTCACAGGGCCCCCCTGTAAGTTGTATTAGTTACTTTATTCCTTTTAGCAATACAGAACACAAACTTATTTTAGCATAAGAGGCTGCTGTGAAATGGTGGGAGTGCAGATCAGTTGAATAAAAAGGTGCCATTCCTATATTTGTCACTTTTCAGAATTGCACTGGAATTTAATGGTTTTGACTAGAGATTCTTTTTCTAATAATAGGAAGGGGGTGTGTGCGTGCGCGCGCATGTATGCATTTTTAATTTATTGAAAATACAATCTTGGGAAATACTCATTTTAATTGGGTGGTTAAGACATCTAAGTATAAGAGGGAGAACTGGCCAATTGGCTAAATCTTAGTGGGTTTTTTTTTAATTGCTATATTTCCTTGGAAAACAAAGCTTAATGTCTACTCCAAAATTTATAAGGCCCAGTTGGGGCTCATTTTAAGTGGAAATCCTTAGGTAGTATTTTCTTTTGGATAATTAACTTTAGGGGATATTGACGGATTTATGTAGCTGTATGTATTGTACTTATTTATAATTTGTGCCTGTCACACTTTTCAGAATGCAAAAATCTGGTATATTGAATACTTTTTAAAATGGTGGAATTTTGTTTTGCAGAAAGTTGTCTTTACACAGTATGCCTTTTGTACCCACAGATTTAGGTTAAACTATACTGTTTCTCATTTATTTCTCTAGCCCTGTAAACAATTTGAAATGGGCATCATGATGGTAATTAGTTTCATGTTACTAATAAGTATTAATGGAGAAAATACTGCTACATGGGAATAACATAGGAAAACAGGAATATCCTATAGAAAGTGGATTCCTGGGGCACAACTGAAGCCCCGGTTACGTGATTGCATGTGATTATTTTAACAAGTAAAATCTTCCACTGTTTGAATGTGAAGAGACCTTCTTTATACTGTTTAGGAATGTAGAAAATGCAACATTTACTGTAATTGCTTTTTAAACAAAAAAAAGGTTACATTTAAAGATTTAATTGCATTATGTGTCATTTCCACAGATGAACTAAGTTCATGGATCCAGCAATCTTTTAAGCATTATGTTACGCAAGAGGCTAAACAACAGTTTGGTGAATATGATAAAGATGGTGATGGATTAGTATCTTGGGAGGAGTACAACATTCAAATGTATGATCGTCTAATTGACTTTGATGAGAATACTGTCTTGGAAGATCAAGAAGAAGAATCATTTCGCCAGGTAAGATACTCAAACACCAGCTTTCACAAAGCATTGGCAAATGGCAGTGGTGTTGGATTCTTTAGTCATTTTATTCTTAAACACAGTCAGAGCTGGCAAACATACTGAACATTTTCAGCTGTCTGGACTTGCTCAGTAGTTAAAAGGTAATAACAAAATATTGAAGTTCCTACCAACAAAATGAATGACAGAACAAGCCACATTTGAGAGTTGAGTAGGGTACTAATATATTGGTAATGGAATCCTAGAAGCCACACCTCAGTTGGTCCCTCTCTTGGCAATGTAGGATGGAAATGTACTGGATCAGACCAGTGACCCATCCAGTCGCTATCCTCTCTCTGATGGTCGCCAGTACCAGCTGCTTCAGAGGAAGGTACAAGATACCTGTAGTAAGCAACTATGGAATAACCTCATAGGAAAAGCTTCTTCCTAGCCCCCATTAATTATAGTTTAGGGCATAAGCCAAGTATGAGTTCATATCCTTTCCTGAATTCTGCTGTTATGAGAATACTATTCACTTCAGTATATCTCCTGGCTCAGTAAGCTAAAGGGGAAAAAATACAAAATATTGTCAAAAGGAATCTTGTCCATGGCCCAGATATTATGGTGATGGGTGCTATAAAAATGAATAATCCAGTTTATAAAATCATAGATACATGTGTTTGTTTTGTCCTGTAAACTATTTGAAGAGATAACAGCAATAGAACAGAATGTCACAAGATAAATGCTACATTATGTCTCCCTTTTGCTTTGCCATTTCTATAGCAATTTGTCAAAGTTGCTGACCTTATCCCGAAGCAAGCTTCTATAACAAGGAGCTTACTTCTGTTCTATCCATGAAATGACTAAATCTGTTGCATTGTTAATTTATTTAGCAGAGAATTGCTCATTATTGCTCCAGTCCAGTAAAGTACTTAAGCAGATGCTTAAGTGCTTTCCTGAATCAGGTCTATACCACCTATTGCTTTGGTGCATTCTGATAGAGAGAGCATAGATCTGTTGTACCCTTCAGCCAATTCATTTCTCCATAAATCTGCTAAACTGCTGTAGGCCATGTTAGTACAGAAAGGCTGCCGACACTGTTGACTGCAAAATGTTAATTAGACTTGCTCCCAGCAAGGTTAGATAGCATGGTGTTAAAAAGTGGCAACAGCCAAAGCCCTGTCTACATTACAGTTCTCATGGTGGCTGGGAAATCTGAAATATTCCCTAGTATGGACAATCCTTTAGACTACAAGACCTTTCTGGGCCACAGCTTTATCCATTTCTTTCCACATCTGCTCTTCCAAGTCTAACCTGTGAGTCTCCCCTCTCTCATTTCCCACATTTGGTTTATATTTTGCTGCATCATCAGCCTGGGAACATGTCTGCTCCCCGCCCTGACCTTCATGGATTCCCTCTCCCTTTTAAATACAACTCAAAATCTTTCTACAAGCAATACATTTTTAATTTTTAACTGGTCCCCCAAAGTTTTGACCACTGTTTCATTTCTTTACAATGCTAATTATGTACCGTACCCATCTGTTCTTTATTTATTTGTATTGTGGTAGCACTTACTTGACATAATTATTGTACTACCCTCGGTAGTTTGGGGCTCAATTTATGCAGCTAGCCATGATCTGGATTAGTGTTTGTGGTTGGATTGGTGAATTTTGGAGGAGTAATGTGTGTGAAGAATACACCTGCTGCTTGGTCTGGTCACACTACCTCTTTTTCATTTGAGGTCTGGGTCCAGGAACCTGTTTTAAGATCTTCCCTTGGAGTCTAAAAGTAGCAAGTTTCAATATGCATACTTGTAATAAATTACCTTAACCAAGAGCACTGCTCTTTTATCTCTGCATGAGCTGTGTTAGTGTAAACATAACAGGTTCTATTATACCCATATGTGAAACACGGTAATACTGTGTTTTCTAGCTGTAATCCTGTAAACCAGTTGCTGTAGATGTCCATTGTTCTGCTTCATTAAGTGATCGAATCAAGTCTGTTTTCTGAAAACTTTTTTTTAAGCTTCATTTAAAGGACAAGAAGCGGTTTGAAAAAGCCAATAGAGATGAAGTTCCTGGTCTGAATCTGAATGAATTTATTGCTTTTGAGCATCCCGAAGAAGCTGAGTATATGACGGTAAGACTTAGGGAAAATCATTTATTCTAAAGGTTAATGTGGATCGAGGCTGCACCTTTTAATGGTTGTCTTAGTCAAACGAACCTTGGAAAACTTGCCTGTGAACAACTACTATTCCTTTCTCTTGAAGAACATACATATATGATGTGCAACTTTCTTAGTCCTCAGTCTTGGGGTTCAGGAGTTTACCCAGTAGAGTAGTGGAGATGCTTTAAATTGTCATACAAGAGGTGGGTTTAGATGATTCTCCCCTTAGGTTGGGAGTAGAGCGTTCTGTTTTATGATGAGGGAGTCAGGTCTAGCTTGGAAAAGAGTCCCCATCAGAAAGATATAAATCATCTTAAGAAGAAGCCTTTGGCATGGGAAAGGATTAAGTGAAGGGAATACTCAGCCCTCTAAAAGGGATGCAGAAAGTCACTTTTCTGACTACAGATAAGCCTTCAGGTTTGATGTTAGCTGAGATGAGAGGGCATAAATTACTGTGTTTTTTAAAAATGAGTCTGCATGCAAATGTAGCAGAAACGATTTCAGCTTCATTGCTGTACAGGTCTGTCACATCTTACGTGCATTTAACATGCGCGATTTCAGCTTTACGGGGTCGGCAAAAACAAAAAAACAAAAATAACAATTTTAATACTGTACCTGTAGTGCGGGCGATTCCGCCCGCCATTGAACTCAATGTAATTTTGACTATACGCGGTTTTCGCTTTACGTGCTAACCGCGGAACGGAACCCCCGTGTAAGATGAGACAGACCTGTATGCACCAGCCACGCTGGGAAAAATTGTTCAGTCACTTGTCAAAAGATATGCTCAGTCCAATTCAATACAGCTGTCCCAATTTTATTTTGTAGCCACAAAGTCTTAAAATTAAGCCCTACTTGTTCGTGCACTATATATATTTATTGTGGAGTTTAGTTATTTGCATTTGTTCATCAATTTTATGAACATCATCACTAACACTAGCAGACTGTAGGTGAACATAGCATCTGGGATAGAACCAGAGAATCAAAATAAGCTAGTACAGGTCTGTACCAGTATCTACTTCTCTGGAAAGTCCTAAGAGTTCTAAACGTAGATCAGTAAGTTAATTTCATTCACTTGAATTGACTGGATTTGGTTGACTGGCCTGAGTGAGAATGTGAGATTTCCTAGCCTAGTAAAACAGTTTTAGATTAGAAGTGAGTTCTTAGTTTCAAGATGAAGGATGCATTTCAGTTGCTTATGTACCTTTGATGCTTTTGTTTAAAAAATTACTTAAATTATCTAAGTTAATTTTGATCTACTTTTAAAGAGATCCTGTCAACTTGAATTCTTATCAGTTTCAAAGAGTTTAAAAGTTTCAGCTAACACACTAGCCCCTGTATCTGCATGCTAACTTTTGTGGTTTCACAATCATTTTCTTATTTTTTAAAAATATTTTCCTTTCCCTTATTGCTGTATGAAAGATTCATACAAACGGTAAAACTGGCTATGCGCACAACAGTGAAACTGTTTCTTTTGAGAGCATTTTGAATAAAATGAAAAAAAATCCTAATCTTTCAGTTATACACCTCTACCCTGATATAACGCGACGCGGTAAAGCAGTGCTCCGGGGGGGGGGGGGGGCTGCGCACTCCGGTGGATCAAAGCAAGTTCGATATAACGCGGTTTCACCTATAACGCGGTAAGATTTTTTGGCTCCCGAGGACAGCGTTATATTGGGGTAGAGGTGTAGTAATTTTAAGTAGTTCTACAGATAGATGAAACATTTTCACTCACAAGTATGATTTTTAAAGTGCCTCTTTATAGTCTGAGGTCTATAATTTTTTAATTTAAATATGCTGGGGGTTTTGTTTTAATACTTTCTTGCCAAGAAATTGAAAAGAAATAGCTTCTTTCCTCTATAGAACCTGTAATGTTTAGTTCTTTGCTGCTGCAGAGCCAGCCACCAGAGGGAGCACAAAGCAAACTTGGCATCAGTTTGTGTGACATGATTGCTAATATTGGTGAACAAACAAGGCATGGTAAAACTAGACAAGCAGGCACATTGACTTTAACTCCATTGGAAAATATAGTGTCAAAGGCAGATAATTTTAAAAACGTTTCCCTAATAATTTTACTATCAAAAAGTATTTACCAAATTGGAAATAATAGAGAAAAGTGATCCATTTTGTTCAAATAGGTGGCAGTGCCCCTTTTAAAATTTATATTTCATATACATATCTATTGCCTTGCATTCAATTCCAGGATTCCAAATCCAAGCATCCCATTCAGATTTGATTTCAGTAAAATGTGATTGAATTAAAAATCAAATGAATATGCAGTCTGGACTTATTTCCCTCCAGGACTGGACTTGTGGCTGTTTTAATTGTTACACTATTCTACACTGAAAGAGAAATTTGTTTGAAACCAATACGTGTTTAGAATATGGGATATATTCTTTTAGTCCTCTAGAATGATATATTGCTGTTTTTCTTAATGCTAAGTTTTTACCAACTAATGTTTCTTTCTCATATACATATGCACACAAAAGGAATTTGTCATTCAGGAGGCTTTAGAAGAACATGATAAAAATGGTGATGGACTTGTGAGCCTGGAAGAGTTCCTTGGTGACTACAGAAGAGATCCAAGTAAGTAAAATGCGGGGGGGAGAGGAAGGGAAATGAACAGAAGCTTCTTTGTGCTTTCTAGGGTGTGGTGGTTGTTTAGTTAGGACAGGGGTGGCCAACCTGTGGCTCCGGAGCCACATACAGGTCTTCAGAAGTTAATATGCAGCTCCTTGTATAGGCACCAACTCTGGGGCTGGAGCTACCGGTGCCAACTTTCCAATGTGCCGGAGGGTACTCACTGCTCAACCCCTGGCTCTGCCACAGGCCCTGCCCCCACTCCACCCCTTCCCGCCCCCTCCCCTGAGTCTGCCGTGCCCTTGCTCCTACCCCTTCCCCCTCTCCCCCTGAGCCTCCTGCACGCCATGAAACAGCTGAGCGGGAGGTGCAGGGAGGGAGGGGGAGGTGCTGATCGGTGGGGCTGCTGGTGGGTGGGAGGCACTGGGAGCAGGGGGTGGGAGGAGCTGATGGGGGGGGGAGGGGGGCTGCTGACATATTACTGTGGCTCTTTGGCAATGTACATTGGTAAATTCTGGCTCCTTCTCAAGCTCAGGTTGGCCACCCCTGGGTTAGGAGTTTAAAAACCAAAAGAATATGCCAAAGGCTCTGGGTACCCTTGACACTCATTTAAAAAACATAGTACAAACATGAGCCTAGCAAGAGTACACTATTTTAGCTTCTTTTACTCTAATTTTTGTATGTGTTTGATAGCAGTTAGTGTATTGTCTTTTTCCCAGTAATAATCATTTTCTCTTGCCATTGTCCCGGGCGTTATAGGAATACAAGACACCAGGAATGTAGTAAAACTAGGCTGCAGCATTATTAATAGAATACATCTGGGAGACTGTCCAGCAATAACTCAAGGTCAACCTTCCTTCCATAATCAGTACCACTTGGGGAGGACTGTCGTAAGCCTCCATCGTTGTGGGGACCCCTTCACAAGGATTAATGGTGTAGGGAAAAGAGAGTGGACCCTCACTTTACCACACACTAGGCTTCCCCTCACTTTACCAGACACTAGGCTTCCCATCTGCTTTCTCCAGTGGATACCCTCCCCTAATCCTGCTCCATTTTGGTTTATTGGGAAGCTGAACCTGTATTTAATATGTACCTGCACTGACTGACTGCCAAGTTGAAACAACATGAACATTTTACCCACCAGGTCTCAGAGCTGCTTTCGGGAAGATGGGAAAAAAACCCAATGCCAATCTGGCAGTGAGGGAAATTCCTTCCCAGCCCCAATAAAACAACTAGCATGATGCTTACAATAAGGGCCAGAAACACCAGACCTATTCTAATCCCAGTGGGGTGGGGAAGGGGAGAGTTGTAGCTCCCTGGGTGCACAGGAAAAGGCTTATGCCATTTAGGTGCACAGGGGCTAGTGAATCCAGTCAATCAGCTAGGAATACTTCTCTCCTCTGCCATCCCTTGCTACATGCCTTTCTCAAGCCCCTGAGGAAAGAGGAGGGGTGTGCTTGGAATCCTTAAAGGGGCTTCCTTTCCTTGCTGTCCGAGACACAACCTCTCTACCTCTGAAGTTATAGGGTGAGGGAGGCTTTTCTGATGCTTACAGGGAGGAGAAAAACACTTTTTTTTTTTTTAAAGTGGTTATAAAACCACTAATTGTCAGGGGTGATTCCGAAGCAGCTATTAGTGCCGGGAACTACTACTATTTTTTTTTTAAATGGCTAGTTTTCAAGCAAAACTTAAATTCTGCCAAAATGATTGATATAAAGTAGGTAGGCAACCTGTTGATCATTTCATAATTTTAGCCTGCCCCACCTGAAAAGTCCATTTCTGCAGCACCCAGTTATGATGCAAGTTTGACTTCAACAGCAGGGGCTGCTGAGAGAGCCTGTTTGCATACAGACATCCTTTTTAATGAGGAACAAGGAAAGAGACCTCACCCATGCCTTATATACAGTGGAAACAGATCTATTTCTGAATTGATTGTTTTTTCAGTCTTCTGTATGATGTCAACTACTTTTGATGAGGTTTCATAAGGTGTCAGCTAATGCTTCACTGTAACATTTGTTACCAGGAAAAAATTGCCTGACAAATGGTTACTCTTTTAAATAAATTTATTGACGAGGTAGAGAACGGTGTAAAGTAATTGACACTATCTAGATTGCCAAATACAGAAAGTAAAACACCTTTCTCCTATTTCAGTTAGATTAAGCAATATTACAATTTTAACTAAAACACTTTTGTTTCAAAGTGTGATGATTGAGTTGATTGTATCCTTCATTACATTTCTCGACTTTAATTTTAAGTTTGCAACCTTAAAGTTCCATTACTGTAAGCTTTGTTTTTAATTCTGTTTACATCTATTGGAAACAGTTTTGTTGATTTAATTCAATGAGAATGATCTGTAATGCTTGCTCTGGTGACATTGCTTAATCTTAAACCTAGTCAATTTTTGCATTAGAAAAGAGGTGAAAACAGTCTTGAAGATACTGAATGGTCTTAAAGTTTGAAAAATACTTTTTATTTAGCTGCAAATGAAGATCCAGAATGGATACTTGTCGAGAAGGATCGATTTGTGAATGATTATGACAAGGATAATGATGGAAAACTCAACCCTCAAGAACTGCTGACTTGGGTAGTACCTAATAATCAGGGTATTGCACAAGAGGAGGTATGAGGTTTGAGTTCATGGCTTTTGTTTAGACTTAATGAAACTTCTTGAAAATATTGTGTAAAATGACCAAATATGCTGCGTTAATTTAGTCTATTGTACAAAAAAAGTATATTTTACATCTTCGTAACTGAAAAATATCTAATAACACTTTTCATAACGTTCTTATAAAATTAAGATTTTCACTTTAACAAAGAATGAAGATTATTACAAAAATGTTGCATAGTGCAGCAGTTGGAATTCCTATGGACTACATGAATGCTGGTCAGAATATAAAATTAATACAGTCGCATTCCTCAAAGGTAAATAGTCAATCTGACTTGATGGAAGATACAGTATTTTTATCAAAACCATGATAAATCTTTCCAAAATACTAGATGGATAACATGAATAAATTAAATGTTAATACAGAGACCATAACATGCATTCTTCTGATAGAACTTGCTACCCTTCATCTAGCTGGATAAGTTGCTGCTATTTGTGTCTTGGGTAATAGAAACCTATGTACATGAAATCAAAACAGAACCTAAGTAAACCATAATCCAAATTTAAAACAATTAAATCAGTTGAATTAGGCATAATGTGATATAAGGAGTTTAAATGGATTCTTTGTCTAGCTGTTGTTCCTTCCTCTTATTTTTTCCTGCAGACAATTGAAGCACTTAATGTCCCAAAACCAAATTGTTTTGGTAAACGGTCCTCACTAGTGCTGAGTACAGCAGATAGGAAGAAACCTACTCTCCCTATCCCTTTTCTCCCCAATAACTGTATATTAATTATCCAAATGTTCCTTCTTTTGACTGCATCAGATCATTTGACATTTCAGATTGGAGGGAAGAATGTGTTTCCCCTTCACATTTAGATCATCTTTTGTTCTTGTCTCAGAGACAGACAGCACATTCTGTGTCAGAAAGCATAGCACGTTCTCTGTGTTGGAAAGCGTGGTTACTGAAGCCACCTCTTAACATCTTTGTTATATTGTCACGAGAAAAAAAACTTGGCCAGGAGTCCAGTATTGGCTCTCAATGTATCGGGTCTTTTTTGAGGTTAAGTGCAAAATGGTTGAAATAACATTTCTGCAAGATAAAAGTCCAATCAATTTTTGCCAGCAGGAACCCCAATATCCTGATATTACTTGCCCAAATCTGATTTTTCAGTCTGCTCCATTCTTTCTTGAAGGATCATATTATTCTTGCTGAATAACTGGCTGTGTGTCTTTCCGTGTACTTTCCTTAAATCCTGTGTGGTCTTGTAACTTCTCAGTAATTTTTTGCTTATCCATTTGATTTTTTTTTTTTTTTTTTTTTTTAAGCTGACAGCTTAATTTTCCAGGAGGCCATAGCATTTTTCAGGCTCCATCCTGGCAAGGATTTCAGTAAATTTTTTGTACCATGGTTCCTGCCTTCTTTTCCAGTACCAAGGGCTCATCTAGAGCCTTCAGGCTAGAGAGGCGGTGACACTGAATGAGTCATTGGATGTAGTTTGAAAGTTGTTCTGCGGTTTCATTTTGATATTTGCAAGTGACTTGTTGCTTGACCACTAGATTACCAAACTCCCACGCATTCAATCCCCTTAGACTAACAGTTCAACCTTTTGCTTTAGTAGAATATTTTTTTTAACTGATCATAAATATATAAAGAATATTCAGCTGCAGCTCTGTACTTCAGATATTTTAAACTAGCCATCTTCAAATACTGGAGAAATATTTGACGCTGAGATTTTTAACTTTCTTATCCAAACCATAAACTAGGTCAGAATTAAAGAAGAAAATATGCAAGTGTGGCCAGCAAACTAGGGATATCCAAAGCTGAAAACAGGAGTATCTAACAGCTTGACCTAAAGAGCCAGGCTGTGTAGCTGAGAGTTGTAACAGCTGTGCATCCTGTGTGGATCAGGCACAGAGGTGGACATTTGACACATGCTGACCAGTGGATTATACACTTCCTCTGCAAGTTCATTACAAGCATCACAGGAGTTCAAATCCTGGAGGAGGCCCCACTTATGTGATGGCAGCCATTTTAATCAACACACTGGGGACCTCCAGAGATAATAGTAAAATTGCCTATAGACTGAACTGAAGCACTGTGGTTGGGAGATGTAACGGACTCATTTTCTGGATCTGGCAGAGAAAGGGGAATGTGTAACACACATTGACCAGAGGAATAAACAAGAAACTTGCTCTTCCAGTAAGATTCTTTGTTGTCTTTTGCTGCTTGTGGAGGTTTGTTTTAATACTATCTTCTGCTTGATCCTGTTTGATATTGGTAAGCTGCTGTAGAATTGAGTGAGGCTAGACATTCAGCGTTATCACTTTGCTGTAAGACAGAAGAACTGTGAGAAAACAAACCTGTATTCTAAATGTACAGTTTTGACTATTGAGGGAAAAATGACAGTGCCTTAAACATACAAAGGGAGTTGATTTTTGGTTCAAAGGTGACAGACATTTTGTGTCACAAGAGTCCCTTTAAACTAATGGCACGAATTAGACAAATCCGTGCTAAAAGCATATTTATAAATGTAAGCGTCAACTTACTGGACAAAACACATTGTGTTCCATTTATTTTAAAGGCTCTTCATCTGATTGAAGAAATGGATTTGAATGATGATAAAAAGCTCTCTGAGGCAGAGATTCTTGAGAACCAGGATTTGTTCCTTACAAGTGAAGCAACAGATTATGGCAGGCAGCTCCATGATGAACGTTTCTACCATCAAGAACTTTAGTTTACTCATTTGTGATCTTGCTGCCTCTGTGTTCCTAAACTGGAGTTTTTCTTTAGGGTACTCAAATTTATAAGCTGCATTGTAAGTTTTACTTTGTGTGATTATAAAATACTAGTGTTTGTGTAAGTGTTTTGCATTCTAAATTTAATTACTTAAGTACTTTTGCAAGTTTCCATAGGCCTTTTCAGCCTTCAGAACTAATCTGAAATATTTAATATTCCTCGAATTGCAGCATTAACATTTTTGGCATCTGAAAAAGTAAACATTCTTAAATAATCTATATGTTTAGTACTGTATTGTGAAATGAGTTGTACTACCGTACTTGAAGAGTCTTAATGATTCTGAAAAAAGGCAAAATGTGTGAGATAAGCAAAAATTACTAATAATTTATTTAGGTGGTTAATGTTTTTCAGAAGTTATGGTGGGGGAGTAGCAATGTTTAGGTTCACTATTAAAGATGTTTTATTTAATACCCTTGGAAGAACATTCAAAAGGATTAATACCTCAATTGTTCAAGAGGTTTCTGCTTATTTTTAAATGATTTCTATAGCGGGTTAATTGTATGATATAAAACCTTATATTTTTGCATCTGTACAGATAGTAATTATTTTTAATGTATAATTCTACATCATTAGAGGTACATGTGGTATTTCAGTGTCAGAACCCTCTTCATTTGTCAGATTAAAACAGTTAAACGCTCCATCTTTCTATATTTCTTTTCTAAACTTATTCCTAATCTCTGATCACCTAAAGCAACTACTGTAGTATATTTATTAAGGGATAATAAGAGAGGTGCCCCATCCAATGAGACATTAAAATTTATCCATTTACAGTATTGCCAGTGAAAACTGTGGTATTCTTGTGTCTGCTGTACATCAAGTGATGCTCTGTTCCTTTTTTCTATGCCAATTAAGAAAAATGTGATATAGTAAACATAACCCTTTATTTCTCCTATTATCTTCAACATCGTGGAACTCCACCGATGAAATCAGGTAGCATCCTCAGCCATTATATACCTGACAGAAGATTCAAGAAGAGCTAACCATGCATTTGATATTTTTCTGAACAAAACGTGGAATTATGGAATGGGACAATGTTTTTTTTATAAAAATGGAATGTTGGGCTAAAATGAACTAGAAAGAAAACACTATTCTACAATCCTATCACTAATATTTTTAGAGTAATAATCTAATACCTTATTTTGGTGGGGTGCAATACCCCATGAATAGCATTAGAATGTGAGCACCCTTCGCTTTCAGTTCCAGTGGTAATCTGAAACTGAGGCTGAAGACTAAGTACCAGAAAGGTTAAAAAGCCTTTTAAAACTGAGTGGTGGAAAAATTTTAATTATTACAAAATTTTAAAGGAAAAAATGTATTTTCTAAATACACTTTTAAAAAAACCCCTCATTTTCATGCTCTGTCAGCAGGTCTCAAACTTCAGCAACCCGAGGATCCCCATTTTGATTTAAAATTTGTCACAGACCCCAAAGCCGGCTTCTAATTTTCCCTGGGGGGTGCTTAACTCCTGTTCAGCACCAGGCCGTGCCCCCAATGCACCCCTGCCCCCAAAGCCCCTCCTCTTCCCTGCTCCTCCCAGTGCCTCCTGCATGCTGCTGAACAGCTCTTCCACAGCTATGCAGGAAGCACTGGGAGGGAAGGGGAGAAGTTGATCAGCGGGACCGGCGGCCCCAAACATGACTTGCTGACCCCAGTTTGAGAACAGCTGCTTTCTGTGTTAAAGGAAATTATATAGAAACTACAAAAAAAATTCAATCATCCTCATACACAGCATTTCTTAGTCTTAGAAATATTATGAACTCTGCTGACTTTAGTTATGTGGTCACACCTTTTAACTTCTATTTAAATATAGCTTGAGTGGCAGAGGTTTTTTTTAATTAGTATTCAGAAAAAAACATTCACTTGATAATTACTCAATTCTCTGCTAAACATACATGCCCATATAAAAATGTTCATGATGAAATATATATTTTGGAACACAGCATATTGTGGCATATTCCATTGATGTAACAGATCTGAGTTAATTTATGTAGCACATATACTTTTCAGAACATTAATTTGATGCAGCAACATGTAACAGCTCAAAAACATCATTTTTGCACAAAGACTGATGCAATAGACAGCCACTATGGTTTAATTTAAGAGCTACATGCAGTTGTTAACTGCATATTGAAAATCCCCAAGTTTTATTTGGGTGCAGGAATAAAATCAAGTAAAGAAGATTTCCAAGAGAACTACTTGTTTGGTTTTTGGCTCTTCAACAGCTGACTGTTCTACTTCATAAACTAGAGTCAGCAACAGAATAAAAACAGCTATTTGGGTCATAGCAAAACTAAGCACCTTAAACTGCTGAAAGAGATATTTAATTTTGTCTATACATATTTAATAAAGCCCTCCTACAAACATACTAGTGTTGCTTGTGTTGCACTTTCCTAGGGTTTTTCTTTCCTCCCAGTCCTTCGCTTTATTATTGAATAAAAGCATACATTATTTTGTCTTAAGTTTGCTTAATAGTATTAATGATTTTCAGAACAATCCATGACGCTCAGAGGTGGTTTTAGCATGTGGTCCCTTGATTTGCTAACTCTATTAGCAAAGCAAATGTGTAAGGTAAAAGGGCTTTTTAATATAGTGTTGATGACACATTTAACAAAATACACTTATAATTCTTAGGACACTCCCCACCAAAATAGTAAGAGTTTTTTGAGTTGGAGACTGTATCTAATATATTAGAGTGTACTTTTAAAGACTCCTACTTTTAAGTGTTAGTCTAAAGTTTTATCTTCAGTCAATTTGTTTGAATTTTTTTTTTGGAAAACTCATCTCTGGCAGATGTCTGTCCACTTTTACAGCTTAGGGGAAGTCTACACTGGTTTACACTACAGAGGTCAGTGTAAGGCAACTTAAAACAACCTAACTCTGTAAGCGTCAACAATAGAACGTAGCTCCCACCAATGTAACTCGCCCACTACACCAACTTAACTCCACCTTCGTGAGAGCCATACTGCTTAGGTCGATGTAGTTACGTTGAAGCAATGTCAGTGTAAAAGCTGTTGCTTATATTGATTGTTGCTACCTTTCAGAAGCCATCCCACACTGATAGGTAAATGGGTGCAAGTGCTCCTGGTCAGAAGGTGCACTGCCCACACAGGGAGCATTGTGTGGACATGCAAAAGCAATTTAAATAGTGTGGTGGCTGTACATCGACTTAACATAGGTCTGGCCGGCACAACTGGGGCTGGGGTCACGCTGCAGGCGTGGTTGGGGTTAACGGTTAGGGCATGTTAACCAGTAAGACTAATGCTTACAGGTTAACCATTTACTATTTTACATCCCTATCCTAAACAGAAGTTGTTTCAATAAAAGATGTTACCTCACCCACCTTGTGACTCTAATATCCTGGGATAAATACAGCTACAAGAATGATTAAACTTGGTTATGCAAAAATAAGTTGTTCTACTTGGCAATCTACAAATACAATTCGACCATAATTATTCAAATAGTTTTTGGCAGAGGGAGACACTCTGAAGATATGGATAATCAAGAAAATTTTGAGTGTAATTAAGGCTGGGTGACATCATCCTGCTTCAGATAAGTTTTGGATAATCAGAGTGAACTGTACTAGGAGAAAAAAAACTGCTAATGGATGAAGTACTACTGTTTTTATATAAATTGACTTTTGATCTACATGCAGAGTTTCTGCTTAGCATTTAGTTTTAATCAAACCAAATGTTACCTCCTCAAGAGGTGGTAGCCAGGTCAATGGAAAAATTCTCTCACACCCCTGAGTGACATAGGTATGCCAATGTAAGTTCCCAGTGTAAATTAGCCCATAGCGTAGACACTTTCCAAGTCAACAGATGGGATTTTTCCATCAATGTAGGTAATCCATCTCCCCAAGACACGGTAACTAGGTCAGAAGAATCCTTCAGTTGACCTAGTTGTGTCTACATTGGGCATTAGGTTGACTTAAATATGGTGCTCAGGGGATGACATTTTTTTAATCTACTTTTTAAAGTGTAGACCAGGCCTCATTCATAATTAAGGTGGCCTTAATTTGGTTTAGCTTAATTCACTTACAAAGTGAATTAAACTAAAATGAATTAAGGACCCCTTAATTTTGAATGAGAGTGTCCACATAAGGGTTTAATGCAGTTTAACTAATCCACTTTCAATTCACCCCTTGAGTTAATGCAGATTAACTTTCCTGAGTGTCGCCAGGTAGACAAGGCCTGTGCCTACATCTCCCAGGAGTCATGCTGCATTGTACAGACATCATTCCCTGGACAAACCTGCACATGAGAGATCTACAGAGAGTCCAGCTCCAGTGACTAAATGACTTGCTAAAATGCGATGAACAGGAAAAAATTCTGCTGCTTGTTCTGAAATCCCTCCATTCATTAACTCAAAGATCTGTGCAACTCAGCATCCTGGACCTCTGCATGAACACAATATTTACAAATGTATCAGGTGAGCAGTAATGTAACATGACAGCAACTGAAACATTCATTTTATGGACCTAAGGTTTGTGAAATCTGACTTAGTTTGCCAGAGCACAGAGCAGCATGCACATTTTAAACCTACCAAAACAACACACTATACTGCATCCACAATTCTGGGGAGATGACAAGAAACAGAATAAACCACACATGACAGATATGATTCACATCACTTAATATACTACTGGTAGGTGCTCCGATGCTATGGAGAAGATGACAAGAAGAAACTGTACTGGATAGAACAGAACAGCTGTTGGTTCTGTTGAACAATACAGAATGCCTCTTACATACATAGAGGAGGAGGAACGACGGGCATCTCTACACTGACCTGTCTAGACAAAGGATAGGGAAAATTCTGACTATTTCTGTATCTTATAAAAATACTATTTTTATAGTTTCCCATCTCAAGCTGTTCACTCCTCACCTGTCTGCATGTATCAGAGTCTGCCAGCAGCAACAGTGCAAGAGCTCTCTCTCTCTCGGGTCAGACGTCACGGAAACTGATCTGAATTTCATTAACTTTGAAGTTACTTTTGTCACAACATGCTGGCTAGTAATATTATTTCTCTAGATTTACACAACTAAAAAAGGGGACGGATATCGAAGGCCCTAGGCACCAGGCCACAAATTACAAGAACAAAAATAAAATGAAATAGCAGTCTCCACCCTACAGTGAGCAGAACACCCCCCCGCCCCACCCCGCCAACACAAATTTCCCTTCCCCCATGCAGAACTCACTCCCATCAAAATCCACCTGCCACACAGATATGTCAGAGCATCCTGAATGCTGCCAATGGACTGGAGTGGGAGATTGTTCATGGAGAGTGCTCTGTCACTAGCTCCATGAATCCTAAATCGAAGGGGATCCAGCTTGAGGGCTTTGATGTCACACTAACATCAGTT